CTCTTAACTAACTTACATTCAAAAGCAAACTCTACAGGACTATTTTAAAAACTTTAGCAAACATCTGGAAGAGATCTCTTAACTGAACTATTATATTATCTTTCAACAAGACAGAGAGTTCACAAATCATGAATAATTACCATACTGAGCTGCTATAAAGCTCTTAGAAAAAACTTCCTGTGCAACTATTAGGCCTGTGGAGGAGTGTTTTTTGGAGCTGATATTCCTTTGTTGCACACTCCTCACCAAACTAACTAGCCAGCAAGCTTCTGAGGATACAATTTCCCCCTTTTTAATTTTTTAAAGCTGCTTCTTAAGATTGCCATGATGCCAGTGTTTCTCTCTTTCATTTCAAGTACAACCCAAGGTCGTTTTTTTTTTTTAATCTGCCTATAAGTTTTTTCCATACCTAAAGCAATTTCCCAGTGTATGGACCCCTTTCCCTTGCCTTCTTAAGGGTTTCAAAATGACTTGAGAAGCATCATTAGTGTCTTAATTGCCCCATGACAGGCATCACCTGTTTCTTGTTTCGGGAAGTAAAGGTAAGCTTTATAGCAGCGTTTGGGAAAAAAAACAAACAATGTTTTGAGCTGAAAAAGCAGAGTTTTTTGGGCAGCTTTTTGAAAGTTTTTGTCCCAGTCTATCTGCTTTTTCTCCAGGTCTGCTTGCCTATGCCCGCTTCATTTTTACAAACTACATTTCCCAAGCTGCCTTTTGGATCCAGGTGCAACCAATGGCGGGTGCGGCATTCCTGGTTCCTGTTTACACATCTGTGTTTGTACTGAAATCAGTATTTTGCTTTTTTGCCATGGAAGATTTTTGAGTAAAGATTAAGCTTTTCACCTGGCACTGTTCCCTGAGTGGGCATACACTCAGGTGCTTTTAGTGCCAGAAGCAAAAACACCTTGGGGCTTGCTCCTACCTTGCTGGGTCAGTGAAAGAAGATGAAAGTACTGGAAATAAAAGTTCCCCAGCCCCTCCAAAAAAGTAGCTTTAGCCTAGTGGTGGTGGTGCAAGCCTTTAATCCCAGCACTCGGGAGGCAGAGGCAGGCAGATCTCTGTGAGGTCCAGGCCAGCCTAGTCTACAGAGTGATTTCCAGAAAGGCGCAAAGCTGCACAGAGTAACCCTGTATCAAAAAAAAAAGAAAAAAAAAAGTTTTTTCAGCCTTTTCAGAGAGATTACCTCCAGGGTAGATTTTTATCTGCCTCCCCCAGATACAGAGTTCCTGCTCAGGCTCTGCTGACTGCTTTCTGTTCTGGGGGTAAGGACTTGCATCCCCATTTCTGTATGGTCAAACTTTGCTTCTGCTTTTTCCATGCTGCCATTGCAGCTAGGAGCTTAGACCCTGCTTTTTTTGCTGCAGGGAGGATCTCATAGCCTCCATGCTTCTTCCACGCCAGCAGCCCCTCACTGGGTCCCACACTGCTTCTGCTGCGGCTCCATCCTGGGGGCAGGCTCCCTCTGCTCGGTGGAAAACGGGCATAGCCTCTGGCCACGGGATTCTGGCTGCTGTTTTTCTAATACTGACTTGAAGGGGAGATTGCACTGGCAGAGAGCATTTGCTATGTTTCAAGAGGTTTTTTGTTTTTTCTAGGGTAATTATAGGTGATTTTTCCATTCTGATAGATGTTATTTCCAGGTAAATCTAATTTTTTTCCTTACAGAAAGAAAAAAAAAATCTGAAATGAAAAGACCTGAAGAGCTTTCAGAGGTTTTGTTTTTGATTTTATTTATTTATTTATCTATTTATTTATTTATTGTTTGTTTGTTTTTTTTTTTTTTTTTTTTT